ATCAATTAGTATGCAATTTCATCCTAGGACATGTGTGGTATTTGTGTGTATCAATTAGTATGCAATTGTTATGCTTGTACCTTGTATATGTCTATGTTTGTATCAATTAGTATGCAATTTTATATTTGTAACCATGTGTGGTATGTATTTGTATCAATTAGTATGCAATTGTTATGCTTGTCATGAAATTGTATGTGAGTTTGTATGAATTAGTTTGCAATTTTATCCTAGAACATGTATAGTACGTATGTGTATCAATTAATATGCAATTTTTGTGTCTGTCATGTAATTGTATGTGAGTTTGAATCAATTATTATGCAATTGTTATGCTTGTACATGAATATGTGTGTATGTATTAATTAGTCTGCAATTCTATGCTTGTCATGTACATGTATGTATGTTTGTATCAATTAGTATGCAATTTTATACTTGTACATGTATCAATTAGTATGCAATTTCATGTTTGTACATGTACTTGTATGTATGTATCAATTATTATGCAATTGTTATGCTTGTACACATATATGTTTATATATATATACAGAATTAAAAATAAAAGTGTAAGTTTAAGGGCACGACGTATTGTAGAAGAGGTTAAAGATGTCTTAAGGGAACAATTTCAACGTCTAAGGTACGTGATATCAATTCTTTAATAAAACGCGCCTTGTAACTTTGTTCCTCCCACCTCATCGCCAATTGGCTGCCGTCGCTACCGCGTCGTAATGTGTTGTCTCGTCTTTTGCAGAAACACCTGCAGATTATTTGTTTGAAGGCCGAACGAAAGTCCTTGCTGAATAGAGCGTAGATGCAAGGATTAATGGCCGAGTTGCAATATCCAAGCCAAAATAGTACACTGAAGACGGTTGGGTGGATGCAATTAGGGCAGAATGCACGTAATAGATACATCGTGAAGAATGGCAGCCAACATAGTATGAAACCACCGACAATGATACCAAGGGTTTTGGCGGCTTTCGTCTCCATACGAAATCTTTTAACCTGCGACAAATGGGTCCCCTTTTTTTTTTTTGGTTTTCTTTGTTTTGTTCAATTGCAATGTTTGTTTCAATCAAAAGCAATGTTTCTAGCAATTTTTGATATAGCATGTTGTGTATGGTTAATGTTAAAAATTGGATTATGGATTCAGATATTTTTTTGGCTTTTTTGGGTTTTTTGGTTTCTTTTTTGTTTTGTCAACCTATAGCAATATTTTTTTCTGATTTTTTTATGTAATTTTTTTTTTATATAATATATGCGTTTATGTTATATAAAATTTTATATTATATGTTATGTTATATATTATAGGTTATGTTATATTATATGTTGTATTAAAGGTTATGTTATATTAAATGGTATGTTATATATTATAATATATGATAATTTATATATTATATATTATTATATATTAAATAATATATAGATATAATATTTTATTTTTTTGTTTTAGTTCAAAACCATATAAATTCTCTATAGACGTATCATATTAATTAAAATTAATATTTTTTAAATAAACACGAATAAAATATTAAAAAAAAAAGAAGATTCTAATTTAAACTGATAAAAGACACTAGGGCATATTATTAATATTAAAGTAAGTAAGATAATAAAATGATACTAATACCTGAGCTTTTAAATTTCGTTTACCCATCCTCGTAGAAACTCTAGGTTTTTCATCTTGTCCCTGAGCTAGTTCCCGAAGGGTAACCTCGTCACCAGTCAACTGACTCTCACAACTACCCCTTCTGCTGGGTCTTCTCATACTGCCCACTCTGTTTATTCCACCGACCTATTGCAAAAGATCAAAGAGCAAACCGTATGATATAGAACTCTACGTCGTTTTCTTTTACCATTTTTTATTTTTTCGATCAAATCAAAATTGTCGATTTTAATATAAATACAAAAATATCAAACAAATATTTATATGAAAAGAAATCTACAAAATGTTTCTTCTTTTTTTTTTTGTTTTGTTTTTTTTACAAATTGTCATATGTCAAACATCGTCTAAATATTTGTCAAACTATTTTTATATTTTTTTTGGTAACCTAACCTCTTTTATCAAAATTTTATATTCGTGGGATTCATCTCGTAAAATAAAAAAAAAAAAAATAAAAAAAATAAAAAAATATATAAAATATCAAAATGTTTATACACCTACAAACAACGTTTTACTTAAATACACATTTATTAAAATATAATATTAATATTAATTAATAATAAATAATTAAATAATATTAATTAATATTAACAATATTAAATATTATATATTATAAAATATATGTGGTTGCGTATATATATATTAAAAATTATAATTAGGGTGAACACCAAAAGTTTCTACGTCTTAAATAAATATTTTCCAAAATAAATTTTACCAACAAAAAAAAAATACAATTAATAATACAATAAACTTACAAATATTCTGTTCACCCTAATATCATCATAACCATAATTATCATCATCATCATCATCATATTTTATCTTCTCACAATTTATTAATTGAGATTGAACAAAATTGATTATCCTTATGGTTCATTAAAGTTTATTAAATGAACAAACAAAAAGCTTCTTGCAATTGGTTTACCTTCAAATGGGTACTCCTAGAACCCTGACAAAGCTGAGTCTGCGTTTGTCCGTTACTGTAATGCACGGAAACCTGAGAACACTTGGAAGGAGTCCTCTCAAGAGTGTTGCACTTAGTGTTTAATGTTTCTGTACTCGGATATGATACCGAGATCTTGATCTTCTCTTTCCTTACAGAACTGCGACTAGAATAATCCGGACTTCTTGGACTACCGTTATTGCTATTACCATTATGAACACTACCACGTCCTCGATGTATCCTCAAAGTTAATCTTTGTTCATCGAATCTGTAATAAAACATTATACATATATACATTAGAATGTTATAACAAATTGATTTATATATAAAAAGTAAGGTTAGATCTGTCACATTTGTGTCTGTAAATCTGAATATATCAAAATAATTGAATTGTAATACAGAGCCATCTATTGAAAACTTACAGTACCTATAATCTCGAAATTATTAATTGATTAAATTAGTAATAAAAAATATAAAATAAACGCGATAAAAACTATTCTGTATACTAAGTTTATAATACACGAAATAATAGCACAATAATTAGTGGAATGTATGAAGTAATAATACTCGAAAAAATAGAAAAACTTAGGTTATGTTTTATAAAAATTTGAAAAAGAAGTATGGCGTGAATATATCAAAATAATTGAATTGTAATACAGCGCTAACTATTGAATACTTAAAGAACCAAGAAACTTATATAACCTTTAAATAATAAATTCTTAAAGTAGCAATAAAAAATAATATACATATATATATTAGTAATAAAAATAGCAATATAAATATATAAAAAAATTAGCAAATTAAATTAGCAATATAAAATATTAATATTAGCAATATAAATATATAAAAAAATTAGCAAATTAAATAATTAGCAATATAAAATATTAATATTAGCAATAAAAATATATATAATATATATTAAATAATAGAAATATATATTAACAAATAAAATTATATTAAAATATATATTACAAAATAGAAAAGGATATATATATATATATATATAACATTATATATCCTTTTCTATTTTTTTAATAATATTTTTTTTATTGGTCAAATACAAAAAAAAAAGGGTCTTCAACACATGTTAAGCTTATGTGTTTGGTTATTTTTTTTTGTATTTTTGTTTGTTTGTATGGGGTTACAGTACCTAGATCCAAACTTTATAGTATTCTTGGTTGTGCGAAAGCCTTGATTGATGGCTTTCGTTGTGGAAACAGCTGCGTTGTAGATTCTCCAATAGAAAAAGAGCATTACTAACATCGGTATGTAGAATGATCCTAGGGCACTGTAAAAACATTCACGATAATAATCACTCAAATAAATAAACATTACATAAATAAATGAAGAAGTTTTCACTTCACAAATGAAAAGCCTTAAACTCTCTGTATATTATAGCGAAAAAGGATTAATGGATAAAAATAGTTTGTAACACTTTTACGGTAGGTCAAATCTGTATAAAAAGGGTTTTTAAAAGAAAGAGGACAAATATGAGGAGTGTCCTCATGAATTTCAGGGTTGACGTATAAGCCCACAAAGGATTAAATAAAACGACGGGGGCTGTTTTATAAACCTCCCCCCGTCCCCCCGTCCCTTCCCCTACCCCGTGTGTTATAGGTTGAACGTTGTTGAATAATGAATAATTTTGGACGAGTCACGAAGCTTTTTTTTTCCTTTTTTTTTTTGTGCCTAACAGAAAAGCGGAAGGATAATAAATATATTTCAGGAAAAAAGAAGAGAGAAAAAAAAGAGAGAGAGAGAGGGAGTGAATGAGAGAGACTTGCCTGTAAACGACATATCCAGCGTCATTGGTCAACTCGCAGATCCATGGACATGGTTTCACCGGTACTATGATGGTGGTAGTGTTGAAAGGGCCGTTTTGCGTAAATGTCACGTTGTGCGTGGGATGAGACTGAAACGATAAATATACCAATATAT